CAGTCTTGGCAGGTGCAATCAAGATCCCATGGGCAGTGACCAGTGAAGGGGCATTTGAACCACACATTCTTTTCTTCTTGTCAAAATATTGGCACCAGTCATGTCTTCCATGATGCTTTGTATATTCCAGAAAAAACTCTCCATCAGGTTCTGGGTATGTATCTGTGGTATCTTTGGGTTGAATCATTTGGCAAGAGAAGATGGTTTTATTGGGTTTTTTGAGATGGGAATGGTCAAAGCTTATACAAACGGTTTTGTCACTTCTCTTGGTAAAAGTTAGTTCACCAGATTGCAGAGGTTCTTCAGGTTCCCTTAGCTTTTCGTAATTTGTGATCCAAGAGTCAGGAAGAATTTTGACTAGCTCATCTCTGGAAATCTGTCTGGGTATTTGGGTGCACATGGTGTTCCCTTTGGTAGCATCAATATTTAAGAGTAAAGCATTTTCTCCTCCGAGGAGACAGAGATCCATGGCATGATTTGGACTCGCCATGCTATTTGGTGGTGAAGAGTAGCTTGGATGGAATCTTTTGCTTGTGGGGCTCCTTGGATTTGGACTTGGATTTTTAGAGCTTCGGTTAGGTATGGGTCATAAAGGGACATGTTGAAATTTGGAAAGATAGTTATGAAGACAGTTCCGGCATTTAAGGTAACTTCTGAAGTACCCAAATTTGCATGTTGGTACTCCAAATATCTTGTATCTAGAAGAGAAAGTCGAGCTACGACAGGTTGACCTTTTCTTCCGTGGTATGTTAAAGCGATTCGGATAGCACCAAAATGAATATGGGTAAAACCATGATCTCTCCATTGTCTGGGAAAATCATCTGGTATTTGAAGAGTGATAAATTGTTCCTCTCGAGTGGCAAGAATAGGATGTTGGTCAAGTTTTGAGGCAGCAACATATTCTTTAACTCCTTTTGGTATGTGTTGGACTAAGGAACGAATTTGGGTCCATGGTGCAAAGGATTTTTTGGCAAAATCTGAGTAAGGGTTTATGAGGGGTAGTTCAGTGGAAGATACTTTTTGTTCATCAGGTAGTATATCTACTTCATAGAGGTAATCATATTTTTTGGACAAGGTTTTATATAGAGTAGGGGACATATTCATTATTGCAAGAGAAGAGGATGATGGAAATGACTCAGACATATTTAGTAAACTGTTCCTCCCTCCGAAAGGATGGGCTGGCTCTGATACCACTGTATAAAGAACGGAGGAAGAGACTCCAAGAAAGCAAACTAAATCATAGATACCAAAGTTTCCCTACAAAGGGGGCTGGCTTCAACAACCCATAAGGGACGGCTTGCCAAGCTACACAAACAGTTAAGTTGCTTATAGTCGCAAAAGTTTTCCTACAAAGGGGCTGGCTTCAACAACCCATAAGGGACGGCTTGCCAAGCTACACAACTCAGAAAACTTTTGTACTATAACCAACGTTAGCTGTTTATAACTCAGAAAACTTTCGTACTACAATAAGCTAACTTTCTTAGAGTATTCTTACTCTATTTTCATACATGGACAGGACTTTCCATCCATTCGAAAGAAAGAACAAGAGGAAAATTTAGAAAGCACTCATATGTAATATATCACAAGAAGTTTTTCAAAGGTTACAAGATGATTGCAAGATGATCTTCCAACTACTACAAGACCTCCTTTATATAGGGCTAGGAGGTTATTACAAGATAAACTTACATGATAAAATAAACCTATCTTACATGGCAAACTTATCTTACAAGTGGGTCCTTCTAAGCATGTGAAGGAATTTAGGCAAAACAACTAAAAAATACCTGAAAACATGTGAAAGGGGTGAAATATACATGGTGTAGCATGTGAAAATATGTGGGAGCATGTGACGCCATGTGAAAGTATGGTGCTGCATTTGATGAAGCATGTGGAGGCATGTGGAAGCATGTGAAAACAAGTTGAAGTGGGGCCCGGATAATATGGAAAGATGTTGAAATTTGTCTTGGCTTGGGTAGGATATTTTTGAGGGTTTTTTAGTGGCTAATCTAGGATTATGGTGGGATTAGCAGGGATTTAGGTAATTATTCTTCATTGATTCTAGGGTTGTCTTCTAGGCATCTTTTCAAATATCTTGTGTAGTAACGCCTGGAATTTGACGGTCCTTCTTCGCGGTGCTCTTTCTCTTTCGGATTGAGAGATGTAATCCGCAACCTTAACCTGGAAATGTCTTGAGTGATCTTTTCTCGGATGACTTCGTATGGGGTTTGATATTCTTGTGCTGCTGCCCGGACTCTTTCCCAGTGAGGATGATTGCTTGTATAATTCCAGCTTGCCCAATCTTTTGGCCATATCTCTTTCGGAATGCACCTATTTTGCTGAAAAAGGATTCTTTGTGCCTCGCTATATTCTTCCTCCATTGATAAAATGGACACGGGAAATTTCCACCAGAATGATGCCTCTGCTTGCGCCTAGAATTTTCCATTAATAATCTTTACTGGCCTATGAAACATGAATACCTTTGCTGTGTAGGAATCATTGAAACATTTCATCCAGTATCTTCTAGGTTTGAACCATAGCAAAAATATTTTAAGAGCTGGTGCAATGTTATCGAAATCCTTGAAGATGTTGCATTTGAATTCCATGAAAATATAATACTGATGGCATAGCACTACAAAAAAAAACTTGATTTAGCGACGGAATTCTGCGACAAATAACATTTCGTCGCTACTTAGCGACGGATTAACTACGAAAAATAGTGTTTGGTAGCAAAAAGGTAAATAGATGAATAAGTATCTAATTTAGCGACAAAATGAAAATTCCGTCGCTAAAAATTGGCGCCCACGTTTTAGCAACAAAATAAGCGAGGAAATTTTGGTAACAAAATTTATTACAATTGAGCGACGTATTTAGCGACGGATTCCGTACGTTGCTAATCTTGCTTCTTTAATGACAGTATATTTACCCTTGTTGCAATGGATTTTTTTGTCGCTAGGTATTAAAAAAAATAAAATTGCATCCAAATAAGTTTTGCTGCTATTTTCACCTTTGCTTGTCATAAGATCAAAACATAAGTTCTCCCTCACAGAAGAATACAAGTAACGAGCCCATTTCCTCCTCCTTCTTCTTCTTCTCCTCTAATCTTCCACTAATCTTGCACTAATCTTCTCAGATGGGCTACTAGTTCATCTCTTTTCTAAAAGACTGGTATGTTTCTACTTCTTTCTCCATTTATTAGCAAATTTTCTACAGTAAATTTTTTAGGGTTTTGGTAGATGTAAAATAAATCAAGCATTTCGCTTCTTCTCTCTTTTTCTTTGTAGTATGTAAAGTCAAATATGAAGTAGGAGCTGACATATTCTGGGTATGTCTCATTTGTGCATAAATATGTAATATTTTTACTACTTTTTGTTGCTAAAATCTGATATGGGGATTTTTTTGTGTTGAACTCTTGATTAATACCAATTTTGGTGATATTTGGTGATTAAAATCAAAATGAAGTGTCTTGAGACCTGTGTGAGTGAAGTTAGCCTTCACTCACCAGTTGTTGTCGGTTTGGTGAAACCCACCCAATTCATTCTTGTCCCTTAAGCTAATTTATTTCAGATCCTTTTACTTTTCTACTCAATTATATACCCACCAAGTGTTTGTATCTGTCCTAGACCTCTATGTTGTCATTGCTTGAGCTAAAACTTATTGGGCAATACTATTTGAAGTTTAAAGTTTATTTTAATCCATGTTTGAAAGGGGAAGCTTGAATAACTCAATAATCATCATACTTTGTGTTTGAGAATTTTAATTTTAATTTTTAATTTTTTTTCTGTGAAGCAAATGGATTAACAAAGTGGTAGTCAACAATGATATTACATAATTCAACTTAAGAAATTTTTAAAAATGGAGTTGCCAAAATTATCTGTGCTAAGTGATCGCATTCGAAAAAACGAGATCTTTTTTTGTTGTACTGTTGGCCGCGTAGCTGCAAGCATAGTGAATCCAATTGTGATGCCTTAATTCTGTTTTGCCCACCTCCAACTACTTTTTCTTTGATGGTGTATGTCATAGGAGCATCCATGTAATGAATAGTAAGTGAAATCTAATTGATATTTTCCTATCACCTTTTCTTCTTTTCTTTTCAATCAAACGCAGCATGAGTTATGGTGGGTACATTCTGAGGAATCACATTCTTCAGAAACTTGAGTTATTTTCTTTTGATAACCGAGAATGTAACCTTAATGTTAGTTTTGTCACTTGATGCGTAAAAAGGAACATCAATGAATAGTTTATTTCTGTGATGTTTCTGGTTGAAAGCCTGTAAGCAATTGGCTAAAAGTGAAATTAACATATTATCCAGCAGAATAATGCTCATTTGGCAAAGTTTTGCTTCTTTCAACTAGAGTTCTGCAATTTGAGTAACTTAAGCTTATAGAACGTGATAAGAAAACTCTGGTTGCTCGTGGCATTGTAAATTCATCCACCCCTTTTTTTCCTCCGTATGTCATGTGGTACAACCATATATATTCTACTGCCTTGTCCCTGTTTTGATGCGTCATTTTCATGTCTTGTGTGTTATTTCATTTCTCAATTTAAATACATCCCAGTGGTCCTTGTGAGTCCTGGTATGTCATAATATTATAACAAAAAAGCCCGATCCCTACGAATTCATTATCTCTGGTGGTTGCGGTGAGATTTTCACGTCGATACACATGCCCTGTTTGGTGATTATTTCGTGTGATCTCCCACAAATATCAAGTGAACTTACTGTATGGCACCATTCATACCAATAGTGGATAACTCTCGTGAATGAGTCGAGGAAGTTTCTAGGCAGTCTTCTCCTGTAATTCCCTTCTTTTGTATCCCTTTTTTGTAGCCTCATGTGACTGGTGATGACAAAGACCCTATTAAAAAAACTAGGCAGCCATCTCTTGTTAATACATTATTGTATCTCCACTTTGTGTTGCATCACATATAAGTTAATATTGAAATTTCGATTATCGAATGTCAACACGTAGCTCCTAGTACTTTTAATGTCATCCTTATTTTTTGTGCTTTTATTTTCTATTTCCTTGAAATATGAGTTGTGTAGATTTTTGCATCTGTACCTTTGTGGTTCTTTATACTACAAAATAGATCTATGTGGTATTCTTTTTGCATCCGTCTGAATAAAATTATTTTTTCTCAGCTTCATTTCAAGAAAAGGAACAAAACGATCTCAAAGATTTCTGATGGATTAGTTAAGGTATTGGTATCTTTATATTAACTTATACATAGGCCTAAATTTATTTTGTTTGGCATATATTTTACTGTCACTCTCTCTCTCTCTCTCTCTGTGTGTGTGTGTGTCTCTCTCTCTCTCTCCCCCATTCTTTTCTTGTTATTCTTTGCGTTTTCTTAAAATGAAATGTGAATGTTATTTAGAATTTTAGCTTTTTCACAAATGGTTAATCTTACATATAGTCACAACTAGGGATGCAAGATAATTTTTAATTGTCTAAAAATATTCACATAAGTTACATTAGCTTTCGGATGTATTTGTAATGTTCTGATGTATTTGAGATTATTTATATATAGTGACTGCTAGGGATTTATTTGTGATGTTCTGATGTACATTATCTTTCTGATGTGTTTGCGATCTATTTAATCTTTTCTTTACTTTATTCTAGTGTATAACTTATCAAAAAATAATAATATCTGTTTGTCTTTTGAATTTTAATATTAAATAGGAAAATGGAGACTCTAGAGCGTGGTTGGATGTATGAGAGGTTGGATGGACGAGGGGGTATTAATTCTTGTTTCATATCCGGTGTGGATAAATTTCTCCACTTTGCATGTTCTCAACGAAATCACATGAGTGGTGACAATGTTAGATGTCCTTGTAAAAAATGTCACAACACTAAATTCATGGATGTTGAAACCGTTAGATTACACCTTTTGCAATTTGGATTTGTTGAGAATTATTTTGTTTAGATATTTCAAGGGAAAAAATGTCTAACTAATGGGTTGTCTTCTAGTAGTAACTTGAATGGTGGTGCTCAACCAGAATTTGGATATGAGAATCCATACCGACGAATGATTCTTGATATAGCTGGGCCCAATATTATTCAAGGTTCAACTTGGCAATCTGATAGTAATGTTGAACCTGAGTCATCTCATCCTAATGAACCTTCAATGGAGGAGGAGCCTAATCCTGAATCCCAGAAGTTCTATGATTTGCTACAGGCTGCCGATGCAGAATTATATCCTGGTTCTTCTCTCTCTCAACTTGAAGTAGTTTCTAGGATGTTAAACATTAAAATGGAGAATTCTTTGTCACAGAGGGGTTATGACCAAATGATGCAACTGTTTAAAGATGTTTTACCTAAAGATAACATAGTGCTTGATAACTATTATCAAACTAAGAAGCTAGTGCGTAGCTTGGGTTTGCCCGTGAAAAAGATTGATTGTTGTAATTCGGGATGTATGTTGTATTGGGGTGAGGACGAGGGCCTCACATCTTGTAAATTTTGTGGATATGAGAGATATAAGCGTCGTGTCGGCTCCCGTAAGAGGAAATTGGTGCCTTACAAGAAAATGTTTTACTTTCCTTTGATTCCTAGATTGCGGAGATTATATGCATCACATGCTACAGCAGCTGACATGAGATGGCATCATGAGCATATACAAGAGGAAGGAGTAATGCGTCATCCATCAGACTCTGAGGCTTGGAAGCACTTTAATGAAACTCATTCTTTTTTTGCTGTTGAACCAAGAAATGTGAGGTTGGGGATGGTTTCCAACCATTTGGTCAATCTAGGAGGAAATATTCTTCGTGGCCAGAGATTGTCACTCCATACAATTTACCTCTGTGGATGTGCATGAAAGAGGCATATATATTTTTAACTGTCATTGTTCCAGGACCGACTAATCCTAAGCAAAAAATTGATGTTTATCTACAACCTCTAATAAAAGAACTGACATTGTTGTGGGGGGAGGGTGTAGAAGCATTTGACATCTCAAAAAAACAAAACTTTCAATTAAGGGCAGCTTTGATATGGACAATCAGTGACTTTCCGGCATATTCTATGTTATCAGGATGGAGTACCTTTAATTAGCAAATGCGATGGTCACTGGTTCGCAAATGCGAGACCAGTTCCGCAAATGCGATGGTCCCTTGGTAGACAAGAGTTCGCAAATGCGAACTTAAATGTCGCAATTCCCAAGCCTGATGGGTTCGCAATTGCGAACCCATGTTCGCATTTCCCATATTTGAGGCCTGCAATTTTTCATACTTAGACGAATTTTCAACCCATTTCTTCATTCTTTCAAACTCAAACACTCCATAGGCGATTTTCCAAGAAACTTATCTTCTCCAAATCATTTGTAAGTAAATTTTTACTTAACTTCTTCAATCTTTAACATCATTAAACATGTTTCATCTTAAAATCAAGGATTTTCATGGGTGAAAAAGGGGATTTTGGGTAGAACCTAGGTTTTCTTAAAATTGGGGATTTGGACCTCAAATTGAGGTCCGATTTCAAAATAAATCATAGATATGAACTTGTGGGGGAATGGGTAATCGGGTTTTGGTTCGAACCTCGGGTTTTGACCACGTGGGCCCGGGGGCATTTTGGGAATTTTTGAGCAAAACTTTGGGAAATTCATTTTCATGCATTCAAATTGATTCAATTAGCATTTGTTGATACATTCAAGTAATTTGTGACTAGATTCGAACGATTTGGTGGTGAATCGAGGGGTAAAGCTATTCTAGAGGCTTGAGTTGAGTTTGGAGCATTCGAGGTAAGTGTTTGATCTAACTTTGGCTGGAGGGAATAGGATTAGAGTATTGTTTACTAGTTGCTAATTGTCGAGTACGGTGTATAGGCATGGTGGCGAGTATCTATACACTGGTGTCTAGCATGACCGTGAGTCCTTATTTGTGCTTATTCTAATTTTGTTGTGATTCTTCCTTGGGGAATTGATGATTTCTATATAATGTGAAGAGTATGAGAAAGAATTGTGATTATTCCCTTGCCGGGCTATATTCGTATAGTGATTATCTCCCTTGCCGGGATGTGAAGGTTATTATTGTTGTTCCCTTGCCGGGATTTAACTGTTTGCTTGTGTTTCCCTTGCCTGGACTTCTATTACTGTTTGTCTATCCCCTCGCCCCCATTGGCTGTGATTGTTGCTTGGGTGAGGAAGAGTGATAAAGCACGAAGGTTGATGTCGTGCACGATTTGTGTTGAGGATTTACTAATGCGCGAAGGAACATTCCGTGCCATGTCTTGATTATTAATGCACGAAGGAACATTCCGTGCCATGTTTTTATTATTAATGCACGAAGGAACATTCCGTGCCATGTCTTGATTATTAATGCACGAAGGAACATTCCGTGCCATGTTTTGATTGTTAATGCATGAAGGAACATTCCGTGCCATGTTTTGATTGTTAATACACGAAGGAACATTCCGTGCCATGTTTTGATTATTAATGCACGAAGGGACATTCCGTGACATGTTTTGATTATTAATGCACGAAGGGACATTCCGTGCCATGTTTTGATTATTACTCTCGTTGACTATTGTAGTTGTGCCGTTTCATTCCTTATTTATTGATTTTGTATTTTAAACTGTTACAGCCCCTATAGCATGCTCGCCTCCCTCTCGACTGGTTAATTTCTGTATTCTTTACCGTTACAAATATATGTATTGAGCTGCACATGTTTGTTTGGTAGTCCGGTCTAGCCTCGTCACTACTTCGTCGGGGTTAGGCAAGGCACTTACCAGCACATGGGGTCGGTTGTGCTGATGCTACACTTCTATGCTCTTTTGCACAGATCACGGAGCCGGGGCAGCTTTTGGACAGCAGTAGTTGATTGGGAGCTGACGTCAGTCCGGGGATTTCGAGGTAGCCTTGCCGACGTCCGCATGGCCCGGAGTCTCTTCTATCTTTACTTTAGTTTGTTATCCTTTGTACCGGAACAAACAGAATTATGTTTTTATTCAGACGTTGTATTTAGCATTCTCTAGACGTTCGTGAGTTCGTGACTCCAGTTCTTGGGTAGAGGATTCTGTTAAACTTCCGCATTTTCTTTCAGTTAGTTATATGTTGAGACTTCCGCTTTATCATATTACGTTTTGATTTTATGTAATGATCGATAATTGCTAAAAGAAGTGAATTAATTTGGCTTGCCTAGCTCCTACTAGTAGGTGCCATCACGACTCCCGAGGGTGGGAAATTCGGGTCGTGACATAGTCTCTCTGAACGTGCGTTGCACGTTTATCTCATATCATTATTATAAAGTTTGTATTACACTATAGTGAATTTTTATCATATGCGTACTTAAGAATTTTTTTAGTTATAAGGGCATTTGGACACACGTTATTTGCAATTAAATATTTAATTTACAATTTTGTCTATTAGTTTAATTTTAATTTTAAATTAAAAAAAATGAACCTAAAAGTTTTGTTTGAGTATGGTAATGTTTCCCTCACAAAAGTTCTAACTTCTTCTCTACGTGAAATTCATGTCAAATATATCAACTTCAAATTTAACTCAAAATACTAATTTTTCAAACTTCAACCAAATATGGTCCAAACATAACAATTTAAAATGAATAAGTAATCAGTATGTACGGTTAACAATTGTAAAATAAATTTCTTTTTTGTTGGTTAACAAATAAATTTTTTAGAATATTAAAAAATGTACTTTCAAAACTTTAATATACGTATGATAAAACTATTGGGAGTATTATTGTTTATGAAAGAAAAGTCTAAATGGGAAAAACATGAAATTGACTCAATGATGACATCGATATAGGTTTGCTTGAGGAACACACATCTTTCTCTTCCTTTCTAATGAGAGACAAAGTTCCATTGTAAAAAGGAATCATTTCAAATACGGAGTATATTTTTTCCTCCATTTTCAGTTCACATTTTACC